CTTAGAAACCCCGCAGCTCACTTATTAGATTCTCTTTCTTCATAAACTTTGGCCAGTGTTGTATAAATGAGAAAAATGTTGGCTACTGCGTTGAGACAGCCTTCGCCCTGAGGGGATCAGGACAGGCCCCCTCCATATATGCCATTGACATGCAAATTATTTTGAGCCAGGGGTCATTGGAAACAAGCGATGCAGGAAGAGTTCTCTGTCCTTTAATCTACCAAGAGACAGAACATAAATTTCCCTTTGTGAAGTGTCTCTCTTGGGTTCCTAGAAGAGGACAGCAGCTCTTATCACCAAAAACAGAGTTGTCAGGTGACTGCATAAGCAACCTCCACCAAAATCTTTCTACTTCCCACACAGATTTCAGTTACTCTTCCATACTCAGAAGCCATTCCACATAGCAAACTCCCATTTGTTTGTTAAATAGCATATCAGCCCGAGTTTAACCGATTCTTTGGACTGTTGCCTTCTGTCAGTTCCTGAGCACATAAACAATAATGTCTGCTCGTTTTCTTCTGTCTCTTGTCACTTACATTTTTGGGCCTTTAGTCAACTGAAGCTAAAAGGATAGAGGGGGCACTTTTCCTCCCTGTCCCTCACATTTCCCACAATTTTATTCAGTTATTAAACAATTCCTATATCTCTCTCGGCCTCAGGCAACTAACTGTTCTATAGATATCCTATGGTGTTGCCAAGAAAAATCAGAATTTCTAATGGGTTTCATGCTGGCATTCTGAATGTAGAGGATACTGACTCTTTCTAAAAATATAGTTTTTATTTATTATTTTTATTTTATGAGTATAATGCCTGCATGTATGTAAGTGCAACTGTGTCATGCAATGCTTGTGGAGGTCAGAAGAGGGCATAGGATCCCCTGGAACTGGAGTTACAGATGGCTGTTAGCCACCATGTGGGTGCTGGGATTTGAACCTGGGTCCTCTGCAAGAACAACCGGTGCTCTTAACCACTGAGCCATCACTCCAGCCCCCTGACTCTTTTGTATGTTTATTGTTGTTGGTTTGTTTGTTTCAAGACAGGGTCTCATGTAGCCGAGGCTGGCCTCAAACTAACTATATATTCAAGGATTGCCTTGGAACTTGTGATCTTCTGGCCTCAGTCTCCCCGGTGCTGGGATTATAGGTATGCATATCACACTCAGCCCTCCAAAGATTTTAGGCATTTTGTCCCTTCCATTCTATTGGGTGACAGCCAGAATTGCAGACCTGGCTAAATGGTGACCCCAAAGCTGTGTGATCTTCACTAAATCATTTCACCATTGTGGTTCCCATTTCCTCAATGGGAAAGGCTGTCATGTGGGGCCTGACTAACTCTGCAGATGATTGTCACACCAATGAGCTCTCAGTACATAGCTACCCTGTACTGGAAAAAGAGAGGAATAATTCATGATCAGAAATTGTTTTATTTTAATATTTAAAAGAGCATAAATTCCTCGGGCAGGAGTGGTGGCACATGCCTTGAATCCCAGATTTCAGGAGGCAGAGGCAGGCAGAGCTCCTTGAGTTCAAGGCCAGCCTGATCTACATAGTGAGTTCCAGGCCAGCTGGGACCACAGGGAGACCCTGTCTCAAAAAGAAAAGAGCACAA